AAGGGAATCGGAGACACTGAGAACTGCACTGAATGGCTATTGTATGCCCTGCCCATAGCACTTTCAACAGCCCAGGAGAGCCAGTAAAAAAGCCAAATGGCTCATGGTGGATGATGGGGACTACCGAGAATTGAACAAGGTGGTGCCCCCTGATCCATGCGGCTGTGCCCAACATGGCCGCCATCTTAGGTACCTTGGCCATGGTCCTAGCAGTGTACCATGCTGAGCTGGACTGAGCAAATGTCTTTTTCAGGATATCCGTGGGCACTGAGTCACCAGCTGAAGTCCCCCTTCATGTGGGAGGGGCAACATGGACCTTTCAAGTGCTTCCCCCAGGCTACCTGCACAGCCCCACCATAAGTCATGGGACAGTAGCCCAAACCTACTCTCTGTTCTCTTTACCCACATCCATAAGACAGGCCCATTGCATTGAAGACACACATGAAGACTTATTCTACTGCAGGACACCCCGCAGGCTTTGTTGGAGCATCTGTAAGGGAAAGGATGGGCAGTGAACTCACAGAAAATTCAAGGCCCAGGCATCGCTGTGAAGTTTCCAGGAGTCACATGGTAAGGTAAGCACATCGGGAAGCACAGTGTCCCAGGAGCTGTGACTGATAAGGTGCAAACCTATCCAACACCTAAGAAGGTAAAAGCGGGGCAAGCTTTTTTAGGGATTTGGGGGTTTGGGAGGACTTGTTGTCCCCACCTGGCACAGTGCCTCTGTCCCCAGTGAAGCTAGTGAATGCTACTGAAGCTTATTAAAGCCGTGGCAGCTCCCAAGCAGGGTTACCACTGGCATTAGCTGTGTCTGTGACTCCAGAAGGTACCGGTCAATCACTCTGGCAGAAACAACAGGAGAACCCTTAGAATTTTGTTCTCAACTCTGGAAGGAGGCAGAAAAAAGCCACCCAACAAGAAATGATGCCTCGCCTCACTAAAAACAGAAATTTGTCCAGGCTAATAATTCTAACAGCAAAGTATTACCTTCACTTGCTCAGGTGACAGAGACTGCAACTATAACTTCTGACCACATGGCCATCAGAGTAGTTACGACACCACGTCAGAAAAAACTGGAAAGTACAGACAGACCTCCTGAGGTGTCCACTCAGGATGCACTGTTTTCCCAAGATCATTCTCCCTCTCTAACGTTGATCACCAGTGAGTGGACCTGTGACTCAAAGTGGGCCCGACCCATTCCTCTGGGAATGTGGACCTCGGGGAGGAAGCTGGTCTCTCTCCAGGAAGCTGAGGCTGAAATCTGCAAAACCCAACAGATGTATCGGGGCCCTCTTCAGAGTGCTCTTGATCGAGGCCCCACGTGACAGTCTTCTGCATTCTGAGCGGTAGATGCGAGTGAGTACCATCCAATCAGAGTTGACCTGAAGTATCTCATTTACATGCATTTGCCTCTTGCTTTTACTCCAATCAGAAATTGGGTTTACCAGACACCTCGTTGGAATACGTGGCATTTTAATAAGCCCCAGGGCTTCACAACCTGCTGCTCTCTATTCCTCAAGTAGTGGGAGGCTGCATCTTCTAGCTCTGAATCTTTCTCTGACTCTTCTATCATATCCAAGAAAGGGCCCAAGAAACCACCATCAACACCAAAAGAAAAGGCAGGAAATACCAGAAGCTGTTCCAGACAGCCCTATTACACTTAAGGGTCTACAAGGTAGGTGGTCAAGCAGCTTCACGCAACACTGGAACCTCTATGGAAGCCCTGTGAATGAAGAACTTGTTTGTTAGTGACTTTAGAGCACAGCACTGGTGAGCCTACTCACCTGGCTGTTACCATGGGCTCTTGACAATCGTCTACAGGGACCCCCAGAGGCTATTGCCTGCTGATGCCTGGGGAGCTGGCCAAGCACACTGTGCGTCCTGTCACCAAGTACGCCAGCTACAAGTGAGACAAGCGAGTTTTTTAGGAGGACATTAGCATCCCAAACCAGAGACTCTTTGTTCAGAGCCAGGTATAGTATCAGGTGAGGGGCTATATTTCATCTGTTGGTTTTTGGATTTAGAGCTCTTCCCTGGTGTTTTAGTAACTTTATTTTGTTTTGTTCTTTTCAATAAGCTTTCTAACTTGGGAATCATTTTAGATTTACAGAAAAGTTGTAAAGACAAGAGTTCCCGTACACTCCTCTCCCAGTTTCTCCTAGCGTCCACATTTATGCACTTCTCACAAGTAAGGAACTAACACTGGTACATCGCAGCGAATTGAACTCTAAACCTTGTTTGGATTTCAACAGGTTTTACCTATTGTTTTTTTGCTCCTGTTCCAAAATCCGATCCCAAACACATGACATTAGTGGTAATGTCTCCTTAGCCACCTCTGGGCTGTGACAGTTTGTTGGAATTCTCTTGGTTTTGAGGACTTTAATAATTTTGAGGATTCATAGTCAGATGTTTTGGGGAATGTTCCTGAACTTGGATCTGTCTGATATTTTCCTCATGGTTAGATTGGGATTATGGGATTGTTGGGAGGAAGACCAAAGAAGTGAAATTCACTTCTTTTTAACATATTAAAGGTGCATGCTATTGACATGGCTAATCACTGATGATGTGGACATTGATCATCTGGCTCAGGAAGCGTCTGCTAGATTTCTCCACTGTGAAATCACTTCCTTTCTTTCCTGCCTTTCCATACTCTGCACTTCCAGAAGGCTGGGGAATTAAGCTCCGTTTGATATGTATAGAAGTTATTAAGTATTTTTCTGTTTAGGAGATTTTTTCACATACCCCTCCTTTAGACAATCATTTATTTATATCATTATTCTTCCCCGATTTTATAATCTCACATTAAAAAAAAGTAATTGCTATGGTGGTTTTTTGTGGTTTTTTTTGGTATTTTTTAAAATTTGAATTCAAGTTAGTTAACGTATAGTGCAGCATTGGTTTCAGGAACAGAATTTAGTGATTCATCACTTTCATATAACACCCAGCGCTCATCCTAACAGGTGCCTTCAATGCCCATCGCCCACATAGCCCAGCCCCCACCCAACACCTCTCCCAACAGACCTCTCCGTCAGACCGTGCTGCCTGCTCCCAGGGATTCCTCGCCAGACTGTCACCGGGCACTGAGCCCCGAGACTTCAGATGCTGTGCTCCACCGATCATAAAAAACTGGCGGTATTGAAACCCTCTCCTTTTCCCATCGGTGGTTTTGGGGAACAGATCTCTTGTGCAGTCCCTGCGAGTATTTTCGCTCTTTTTTCTCTCCAGCTACTTTGGGGGGAGTGGTTTTCTTTCAAGATCCTGATGCACTGCCCTCTCCTCTGCCCCCTCCCTTGCCCTCCTTTTTCGCTCTGTCCGGTCTCTGCCAAAAAGGCTCCCTGCCCTCCACGGCACCTTGGCTTTTCTTTCCCCCAGTTCACCTCTCTGCACTGCGTACCTGCCTCTCTCGCTCTCGTTCAGATTCTGCAGATTGTAGTGTTAATGCCCAGATCAATCCTCCAGGTGTTCAAAATGGTTTGATGTTGATCTAGCTGTGCTCCAGGGACACAACAAGCTCAGGGTCCCCTTACTACTATGCCATCTTAACTCCCCCTAACTGCTATGTTCTAAACATCATCTCATTTTGTTCAAGGTATCCGTGCGATTTTTCAGTCTTTAAAAGCTTTGTACCCTCCCCAATTGCACGTATTGATATTTTTGTACAGAAATTCGACAGGATTCTTTCATAATCTGATTTTCCCTCATCAATATATTATGTACTTTATTCTCATTTTTCAACTTCTTAGAGTTTATACCTTCCTTCATAACTGCTTCTATACATATCTTATGTGTTGATCTCAAGTGTCTAGAAATGGCTTTTTATTTTTAAGAAAACCAATGAAAACTTTTTGCTTTTAGATAAGGTAGACTGCTCAATATTTTGTAATTTGTATTTTGTAACTTTGCATTTGAGTCTAACTAAACGTTCATTTGCTTTCCAATTTCTGTTAGTGTTCACAAATCAACCAAAATTTTGTTTTTGTAGTTAAAATTTTGAAGAGCTTGATGAAAAATTTTTAGTAATTTCAAAGTCGATAGACCTTGTCACATTTTCTTCTGAGACTGACAGTCATCTCTCCATCACCCAGGGTACACCAAAGCTTTGTTTCAAGATCTACGCTGTTCTACATTTTAAGGAATGATTTTAGGTTGTTTTTTTGTTTGTTTGGTTGTTTGTTTTTTAATGTTTACTTTTGAGAGAGTGCAAGCAGGGGAGGGGCAGAGAGAGGCGGACAGAGGATCCCAAGCGGGCTCTGCACTGACAGGCTGACAGCAGTGAGCCTGATGTGAGACTTGAACTAATGAACCTCGAAATCACGACCTGAGCCGAAGTCCGATGGTCAACTGCCTGAGCCACACAGGTGCCCCTGAAATGTTTTTTCTTAAATATTTGAGAGAGAACAGGAACGTGTGCATGCAAGCAGGGGAGGGGCAGAGGGAAAGAGAATCCCAAGCAGGCACCAAGCTGTCCCCACAGAGCCCAAGGCGGGGCTTGATCATGGGAGGTCATGATCTAAGCCCAAAGAGCCAGACTCATAGTGGACTGAGCCGCCCAGGTGCCCCTCTAGGGCTTTTTAGTAGGCATGTGTGAAGCCGCGGATATCAAACGCTCAAATGCCTTCACCAAACTTGAAGGTTAACATAACTTTTGTTTGAATATAAAGATTTCAGGATACTGAATATTAACGACGTGCTGCCGGACTGCCACGTGGGAACTGCAAGCTTACACCTCCTGTCTGTTCTTCCCCAACCACTTAACAGTCCTTAACTCACTGTGGTATTAGCATGAAACCCGCCTGTTTACATTAACACAGAAACCAAGTGGTGGTTATAATGCTTAACTAATTGGGAGTCAGCCCCTCCTCCCATGGACTCCAAGATGTGGGGACTCTCAACTCAGGTCAGCTTCCTGGGAAAGCTTCCGCTAAAACTCTCAAAGAACCAGTTCATAGAACCGAGACACAGGTCTCAAATGTCGTAACCTTACTAAGACTCACCGTATATGGATATAGGTACACGGTTGCCTATTCCTGGAGAAGCGCAGTTCTAACCTTTGCCATTTCATGCACAGCCTCCATTGACCATCTGAGTGGCTCTGAAAAGAGCCTTTGGTTTTTTTCTGCAAACGGTTCAGGTCACACTCGCTAGGATTCACGGCTTGGAAATTATTTGTTCTGGGCTTTGTGGCGGTGGCTCTCGGTCTTCTTGGGCAGCAGCACGGCCTGGATGTTGGGCAAGACGCCGCCCTGCGCGATGGTCACGCGGCCCAGCAGCTTGTTGAGCTCCTCGTCATTGCGGATGGCCAGTTGCAGGTGGCGCGGGATGATGCGCGTCTTCTTGTTGTCGCGGGCCGCGTTGCCCGCCAGCTCCAGGATCTCGGCCGTCAGGTACTCCAGCACCGCCGCCAGGTACACCGGCGCGCCGGCCCCGACCCGCTCCGCGTAGTTGCCCTTGCGGAGCAGGCGGTGGACACGACCCACCGGGAACTGCAGCCCGGCCTTAAAAGACCTGGACTTGGCCTTGGCGCGAGTCTTGCCGCCCTGCTTCCCTCGCCCAGACATGGCTAGTCCGACGAATGGCAGAAAAGCTGTTGCTGAAGAGACCGCTACTCAGCCTATTTATAGCCTGCTGGGAGGTTGTGATTTGCTATCTGATTGGCTGATGGTCATCTACCCAATCGGAAGCCTCGCCAGAATCACCTCATTTACATTCACGCCACCACCCGATATCCAATCAGATGGTGTCTGCTCTGTACGTCATGTCAGCACTGTGCCTATAAATACCAGTCGGCCCAGCCCCGAATCTGTTGGCTTACTTGACATGGGTTTAGAGCCGTTAGAGCTGTAACTGTAGAGCTGTAGCGCTAGAGAGCTGTGCACCCGCCATGCCGGAGCTGACTTCCAAGGGCACGACCATTTCCAAGAAGGGCTTCAAGAAAGCTGTAACCAAAACCCAGAAGAAGGAAGGCAAGAAGCGCAAGCGATGCCGCAAGGAGAGCTATTCCATTTACATTTACAAGGTGCTGAAGCAGGTGCACCCCGACACCGGTATCTCTTCCAAGGCCATGAGCATCATGAATTCCTTCGTCACTGACATCTTCGAGCGCATCGCGGGCGAGGCGTCGCGCCTGGCACATTACAACAAGCGCTCGACTATCACGTCCCGGGAGATCCAGACGGCCGTGCGCCTGCTGCTGCCCGGGGAGCTGGCCAAGCACGCCGTGTCCGAGGGCACCAAGGCCGTCACCAAGTACACCAGCTCCAAGTAGACTCGCCAAATAAGCGCCCTCTTACTCAACCCCAAAGGCTCTTTTCAGAGCCGCTAATCTCCTCAGAATTAGGGGTGTGCACTCCACCTCGATTGAGCAGTTAGATACTACACAACCGACTGGAAAACTATCTTAACTGAATCGCTTCCCTTTTGACCTTGTTGTTCTACACGTTATCACTTGTTCCGTGGTAGGGTTGATCATTAAATGGTGTTTGTGTCCTCCTGGCTTCTCTGGCCTCTCTGAGGAGGCCAAGTATTGAAGTTGAATTTAACAACCTTAAAAAGAAGGGACCAAATGACTTCCAGTAAACCTGTGGTTTGGCTCATAATCCTCAACTTATATCATTTTTGTGATTTAAATGTTTTTAAATATAGATAATATATAGGTATATATTTCTTTGCATGAGAAACTTTAGTACCACTTGACAAAAAAATCCGCACACGGTAAAATCCTAGAAAATCCTATAAAATAAAGCGTCCCACATCTATGTGCACAGTGAAACTGCCTTGGTACCCTTGCATGCCTTAGTGGGGGGTCCTCAAGGAACAGACATGGAACATCTGTGCCCAGGAAGTGAGGAGCAACAGTGTGTCTCATCAGGGATCCCAGTCGCCCCAGTAAGACTGGGAAACGGCAGACAGCACATAGCTCCCACATCCCCTGTCAACTGTGTGACCACTCTACAGGCTACCCTGATTTACCCAAAGTCCCTCAGGATTATGTGGGCAAAGGGAAAGTAAGAATGTTAATAAAAACAGCTCTTTTCAGACCAAACCTGACTCAGCTTTCACCTCAGATCATGTTTTGGCCGCAAATAACAGGAAGCACCCAATGAACAAGTTGACGTAATGATGTCGCTGATCACAATGCCCAAAGGCACAGAAATTTCAGGAGTGGGATGATCAGAGCGCTGGCTCCGTCGCCCTGATCACCTCAGCTCTTTACACCCTGACTCAACCCTCATGCTGGTTCCGGGTCCAAGTGTTCATGCAGATGGGACGAAGTAAAGGCTAGAAGAGACACACTATTTTACTGGGTCTCTGAGAGTAAGAAACACCTTCCCTGAGAACTTCATTGTCCCTTTTGTTTAAGTTCATTTATTTTGAGAGAGAGAGGGAGGGAGACTGAGTGGGGGAGGGGCAGAGAAAGAGGGAAAGAGAGGGAATCCCAAGCAGGCTCCGCACTGTCAGCGCAGAGCCCGGAGTGGACCTTGAATCCATGAACTGTGAGATCATGACCTGAGCCACAATCGAGAGTCAGATGCTTAGCCGACTGAGCGACCCAGGTACCCATATTTGTGATTTCTTTACCTTTTGCATTTATTATAATTTTACTGTAATGAAAAATTTAAAACCAGTTCCATTTTTCTTTTTCCCAATTATTTTCTTCTAGGCTTTCCATCATTTACCACTTCGCCTTCCACGGATTCATTTTATTGTGATTTCTCCCAGCTTCTTTAGGGGAGTGTTTCCTTCACAAAGACACTTCTCACAGTGCGTGGTTTTGATAGAAATGAATTTCAGTTTCCACAGTTGGCAACTTGATCTTAGCCAAAAGGCCAAGAAACGATCAGTTTCCACAGTTCAGTTAAACACCACCAACTGCCCGACAACACAGTTCACATTTCAATAGTAAGTCACTGTCTAAATGACAAACTTCATTGCTGGATCTTCAGTTCACAAGTCACTGTACAAATAACAGATGTGCGTCGTGATCTATCCTGTGACTTGTCCTGTCACTTATTGTAAAATGTGTTGTCCCTGGACAGTGCACATGTTACCCTGTCTGTGCACAAATAGAAAGCATGTACTTTTAGTTGCCGCTTTGTGTCCTAGTGATCATTGTGCCCGACAAAAGATGATAATCAAGAGAGTTAGCCACCGAGATGAAAGTATAACAAAAAAATGGAAAGTAATAACCCTACCAGTGGAATTTGAGTGGAATATAAATGGCATTCTAGAAGAAAGAGCCGGCAGTAGGGCGGCTGGCGCCCTCACAATGGAGACTAGCAGAGGAACTCGGGGACGGCGAACTTGACCTAAATTAGAAAGTGTTTGTGTCGAAAAGGATGAAGCCGTTCCAGAGAAAGTGACTGGCAAAACACTTCGTACGACAGGGATTCTCAAAGGGATTTCACAACATTGAAAATACAAAGAAGAACATGCTGGAAGCTGATCCGGATTTAGAAAGAGACATGACGATTCAGCAAGGCACAGAAAAGACGCTTACTCTGTATACTAAGTTACAGGACCAGAAAGCGGCGAACACTGTTCAACTTCTTTCAGTAAGTTTTTAAAAAAGAAATGACACTTTCTCATTGTTTTCATATTGCATTTTATTTTTTAAAATATTCTTTTTTTTTTAATGTTTACCTTTGAGACAGAGAGAGTATGAATGGGGGAGGGGCAGCGACAGAGGGAGACAGAGCATCCCAAGCAAGCTCTGTGCTGTCGCAGAGCCCGATGCGGGCCTCCATCTCCCGAGTTGAGAGATCATGACCTGAACCGAAACCAAGAGTTGGAGCCTTAACCGACTAAGCCACCCAGGTGTTCCTTAATGTTTTAAGTTACAACTTCCTAAATATTTTTTTCACTTCCTTCCATAATTATAATAGAGAGTTAAGGGAGTTTTTAAATGTCTAGATAAAAATGTTCAAATATTATGGAAAAATCATGATTTTGCCCATTTCTTAAGATCGCCTTGCGTTGTCATTTTTAAGATTTCATACCACCTGAAGAACTGCCTGTATTTATGCTTTTTATTAATATAAGCATTGAAACTATCTTTTTTTCCTCTGAGCTATGGTTCACCTTATTCCCACAGGTTCTGGAAATATTCTGAATCTTCATTAACATGTGAGACTGGCTGAGACATACACGTCATTTCTTCATTCTCCACCAGGAACTTGCAAACTATTGTTATTAGCAAAGCAAAGCAGCTGGCCAAATGGTCTCTCCTTAGATCAGACTTGCAGACCAAACGCAGGCCAAGAACTCAGCTTTAGGGAACTCAGTGGCACAGAGGAGGCTGGAATGGGTTTGTGACCTCCGAAGACCAGCCATTTCAGACAGATAAGAGGAAAGCTTTAGTCTAAGACAATCCATGTGAAAGGAGAAAAAAAAATGGTTTTTTGTTGTTGTTTCAAAATGGATTTTAAAACATGTGTTTTAAGAAAGGTGCTGTCTGCCTGTTGACGTCATCTCAACCCCTGAGTAACAGATTGGCAAGACAGAATTTTCTGAGGACGGGGCCGCCACTGAGCCGGGCTCTGCCTTCGATACAGGAGGGTTTGGTGTGGGACCTGGGGCAAGAGGATCCCTGACGTGTCCCCCCCCACCCCTACCCACCTCCCCCTGCACCTCCAGCTGTGGCCTGAAAGGATTCCCTGTCGGGATCTGCCCTGGAAGGGGGGGAGAACTCCCTGTCTCTCTCTAATTCTAGGCTGTAGTGCTGGTTGGTTACAGAGCAGAGAGCACAATGAGTGCCCGTAAGGGGAGGCCTGGGAAAAGGACAGAGCACCTCGGTCTCCGGAGAAGCCCGGATGCTGTCCTTACCCTAAAGCCATCATAATGCCTCCCAGCCTGAACAGGAGAAAAACCTCCGTTGGTGCCACTCTCAAAGGAGAAACTTCCGGGGCACTGGGGCGGCTCCGTCAGTGAAGCATCTGACTCTTGATTTCAGATCAGGTCGTGATCTCACAGTTCGTGAGTTCGAGCCCCACACTGGGCTCTGTGCTGAAAGCACGGGGCCTGCTTGCGATTCTCTCTTTCCCTCTCTGTTCCTCCCCCACTTGTGCTCCCTCTCTCTCTTGCAAAATAAGTAATAATAAAAAAAAAAGGAGAAACTTGCCAGCCTTGTCTCAGACCTTGAGGGTATTCGGGGCCAAGGAAAGCCTCCCAGGGAGCGGGGCCAGCGTGAGCCAGACCAGCTAACGTCCTCACCGCTGCCCCGGCAGGCACCACCGCTCTCCCTCTAGCGGAGGGCCAGTCAGGCCAAGTGGCTGCATTTTATTATTATTCCTTAGTTTTCCGAAAGGGTTTTAAAATTGTTTCCCTTTTCTCTATTCTGCAAACATTTGCTCAGTGAATGAAGGTGTGTGTGTCAGAGAACCAGACAGAACCTTACTCTGTGTTTCCCTTCTAGTACAGCGAGGTAGACAGAACATTTACGTTCTCAGTCAGTCGTGAATGAGGGAGATATAAATGCCCATAGAAGGCTTTGCGTGGTCTATAATTTAGTCTAAACTACTTTAGTCCAGCTTTTTAAAAAAGTTTATTTATTTTGAGAGAGAGAGAGAGAGAGAGAGAGAGAGAGAGTGTGCAGAGGAGGGGCAGAGAGCGCGAGGGAGAGAGAATCCCAAGCAGGTTCCACGCTGTCGGTACAGATCACGACCTGAGCCCAAATTAAGCCAGATGCTTAGCTCAACCGACAGCCACGCGGGCACCCCTAAAAATACTTCAGTCCAGCTTTTTCTCAGGTGACCCAGAAGACAGTACACATCCAGGCTGAGCATGCCTACTCAAAGCTGCTGGCCATCTTTCAAAATAACAAGGTCCCACTTGGAGAAACTGGCCAGGAGAAGCTCCATAAGGACATCAGTCTGGGCTTCCAGATGTCCCGGGAAGCCACCGAGGCCGCCTACATCGACAAGAACGTGTCCCTGCACCTGTCCCCCTGTCCAGGGATGGCCGGATCAGCGACATCGTCACGTAGGCAGACGGGCCAGTCCGGGTCCACGCTCAAGGTCACCAGACCCGCTGGCACCAAGAGCCAGTTCCAGAGGTTCTGAGACCGGATGCCTGCCCACTCCCCTAGACAAAAGGGAGTCATTTGCCCAGTCATCAGTCAGTCACGTCAGCCCAGGTAGCGTGATGCAAATTTTGAGCGAACCCACATTAAGCCAAACCTTTGGGGCGGCTTGTTAATTTGTGATGTGTGATGGGTTCAGCCGCGTCCCGTAAAAGGACGTGTCCCGGTCCCGATCCCCGGTACCTTGTTTGTAAATG